ATGGGTAATTACGTAATTTTGAAAACAAAATTATTATTGCTTCACTAATTTTCCTACAATCCATGACTCTACATCATTTAAACAAAATAATTTACCCAATTTTAATTAATTGCCATTGGGTTTGGGCTTTTAATTATATGGTCCAATCGGGTCATGTCCCAAAACTTGGAAGTGACCGGCATGGGATATATATACAAAAATATTCCCTTAAGCATTGATTAAGAAAACTCTAATATAATATTTTAATTTATTTGAAATAAGATTGATATTTATTGCAATATTTTTATATAAATAAAGTTTCTAGACTGTAAAAATTTTGACAAAACCACTCGTCTCAATAAAAACCTCACAAAAACCAAATCTATAACTATTTTACAAAATAAACAAAAGCAACAAGGAACTTTATTCCATCAGCAAATAACAAAAATATAGATAATAAGGATAAGGACTCTAATTATAGCTTATATGGAGCACCTGATATGAGAATTAACGAAATATAATACATGGATTTAAGTTCACATTAAAAGAAGCTTGATCAACAATTCCTCACTTCAATTGGATACTATAGCTCCTCAATGGTCAATGGAAGATGCAACTTTAACTAACGTATTTGACACCAAAATAATAGTTTCTGATGAATAACACCCCCAACCATAACATTTTGAAAAAAATCAAAATGAAAAAAAATACAATAGTTTTATAAATTAAATGAGAAAGCAATTCAATGTAAATAAATTTGTAAACTTGAAATACAAGTTATGTATATATAACTTCAATGACAAGAACATTTAAATCTATAATGACAAAGAAACTTTAATATTTGATCTTGACAAATCAAACAAATTAAATAATAAATAAGAATAACAATAGTTACTAATTGAAAAACCATTAAATATGAAATCACCAATTAATTTAAAATTCATATTTTAGGGATTTATCTGAATAATTCACAAATGTAAACACACAGTCCATGAAAGTAAATAGTCAAAGGCAGCTTATGCCATGAAGATAACTATAGACATACAGTTCATGAGGGTAAATAACTAAATGCAGCTTGAGCTGTGAAACGAATGTGGACGCATAGTCCATGAGAGTAATATTAACCAAAAATAGCTTGAAGTCGCAAAAACAAAACATAGGTACTTGACTTACGAATAACAAACGTGAAGATAGAGTTCACAAAATCAAACTAGTTAATCATTGACTAAGGCGTGCCAAGGGATAATGGATTTGTCATTAGCAACTAGTGTCCTGTATAAAATCCCATTCAAATTCATTTTCAAACATATAAGAAAATCATCATTATAAAAATACAATTCTTATTTTTAAAGTCAAACTCACATGAATAGCTTTGAGCATTAAAACCTTACAAAATAAAATTTCATAACTGAAGTCCATTTTTGACATTTATTGTGTAACCCAAAATACTCAGAGTTAATAAAAATAATCTCATCAATTTTGAACGTATTCTTCGTAAGGATAAACACATACCATTCCATTATCCAAATATCTCCTAATATCTCTTATAATTTCCCAAGATAAAAATAATTTAACAAAGTATAATACGTAATATAATTGTTATTGAATGTTCCATGTAAAAAAAATATTTTGGTAAGAGAATTTTATTGATAAATCAGTTAAATGCTATCCATTTACCTGTTATACTCCCAATTCCAAAGATTTACTTCTTTCTACCTTAAAAAAGTTTCTCCTCTTCTCAACATCCTATATAAAATATATAGAGAATTCGTTAATGGCCTTTACTCATATCACACAAATTCCCTTTTTCAAAGTTCTCTTATAAGATAATTTGAACTGATCAAATTTCTCAACATCCACTAAAGAGAATAATTGTCTTCTAATAATTGTTTAATCATCAACAATACATTCACCACAAGTATCTTGTCATCGCATGTCAAAACTCACATTGAGACATTTATAAACCTCTTGTAGGCATGAATCATTTAACGAAAACCAAACTCCCTTTTCTACAAATTTTATTTCCCCAACATCATATTTTATATCACCAAATTTTCCCATATGATTTTGGCCATAGAAAAATACTCCCTTTTTTTTTGAGCAAAAATAGATAAATACTCCCTTAAAATGCAATCCCTTAGTAAGCTTTTTTGTCAACTTACCAAATGTACATTATTTCAGATCTCACATTAAAGATTCCAAATCTCAACAATTTCTCGACAGCCGTATGGCTCAATCACGGTCATGCCTGTCACCGTAACTAATATAATTTCAGAAAATACAAAATCAAGCAAAACTTCTTCTAGTAGGAATTTTGTCAAACTCCTTTCTTGCACTAACCTTAAATCAAGCCAAACTTCTTCCTCTTCAATTCCCTTTTCCAAATTTTCCCATATGTATATTTGAACTAATTAAACTCCCTAATTTTCATTCCTTGTATAATAATCAATTCACATCAGAAAAGAATATCATTTACCCCATTCATTCATGCCTCTCTTTCACATTGAATTTCAGAAAAGTATGGATCCCAACAACACTCATCTACCAAAGCTATAGCTAAGATGAACCTTCAAATTCCCTTCATCTTTCAGCCACCAAATAACCAGCACAAAAGGTAGAAGAGAAAGAATCAATCTTCCCATACCAGTTCAGCTCCTAGGGTCAAACCAGAAAGAAAGACGAAAAATGAGCTCCACACCAGCACACGGACAATGCCAACGAAGATAAAGGAGAGTTTTGACGTTGCTACTAAAGTCAAAGAGGGAAGGACTAAAAAGATTACAGCACACAGAAGAAAAGAATGAAGAAGAATGAGCAGCAACACTCACAGCTGCAGTGCTAACGGAGGAGGAAGAACGGAGGACTTGCGAGCTTCCTAACACCAACAACGGCGGTGGATGACGCACCCATTTTCACTGGGAGCAGACGATCAGAATAGAGGAGGATGAAATTTCTGGAAGCACTCTCAATCTCTCTCTCGTTGCGGCAAACGAAAATGACGAGGACTGGGGGAAACAAATCTGATGGTTTTTTTTTTTTAATTTTAAAAAGAAAGCATTATGTTAATTTCGCAAAGCTGAAACCAAATAAAAATATTTCTTTTTGCATCAGCATGAATCGAATCGAATCGAACTCATCCTTGATACATATAAGTTATGTAACTCCCACTAAACCAACAATCCTACTTGGTAAAATAACTCCAAAATTAATAGAAATACATTTAAAACTAATGTTTTGAAATCCAGACCAGACATCAAACCGGAAAGAGCAACGGGTCATAGTTTTCATAGTTTAATTAGTTAGACCGCAATGAACCGATAACATAAAAATTAAATAAAAATAATATTTATATTAGATGCCTGGACCATTGGAGCTAGAGGCAGAGGCATGTCAGCACAAGCTCATGATCTCGAAAGAAGACGCTGGAGCTGGAGGTACTTTGTCATGTCACGACTCACAAGCTTTCGTTTTAATATCAAAGGTTGGATCGCTAAAGTTGAGGTAGAGGTTGGAGGAAAAGTTAAAGATTGAGCCTGGATCATAGAGGAGAGATTAGAGATTAGATATTAGAGATTAGAGAAGAGAAGAAGAGAGAGAATTAGTGATTAGAGAAGAGAAATTGTGAGTCTAAGCAACTCAAGCTAAATTTCTTTTTATTTGTATTTTTTTAGCTTTGAACCGGGTTGACCCGGCTCCAGTTTTCGGGTCAAAGCAGGTTCTCTCAAAACTAGCCGAGTCAACCCGATTCAAATGCTAGATTGATTTAATTGATTGAACTAAACTGTTTTGTTCAATGGGTAGTGGTTGGACTAGTCGAACCGTCCGGTCCAGTTCGATTTCAACAACACTAATTAAAACACATTATTATATATTTTAATTTTACTTAAAATTTTTAGGTTATTACAAAGTCATCAAGGGTGAACCATATTCCAGCAAAACAAAATTTAAAAACTGAATTATTGCATGATTCATAGTATATATAATCACAATGTGTTAAGAGTTGTGATCTTCAACCTGACAGTACTCGAATGTAACTCAATGGCACTAAATATTTGATAATTACATCAATATATATTGTTTGTTGTTTGCTTATGTCTTTTCATATGGAAAAGGATCATTGTACATTAGGCCTCTGTTATTTGGAAGTGGACCGGTTATGGTTATTTCACAATCACTAGAAACAACCTTCTTAATATGCACCAATCCAATGGGCAATAAGTGCAAGGTGAGATTAATTTTAATTAACACTTTAATTGACTTTAGATTGATGTAATTAAACTCAAAATTGATATATTTAAAATTAACTACTTTTTTCAATACACACATACACATTAGTTGTAGTTGTTGTCAAATATCTCGAAACCTCTATTATTTTTTTAAGGTAGACATTGAAATGTACCAATTTTTTGATTGAGACATTTAATGTATTTTCCCAGCACTGCTTACTTCCTTTCTACTAATTATATTTTGATATATGAAACAGGGACATGCTGGTGATATAAATTTGTTAATTGAAAATAAAGTTGCACGTGCTTTTCCCTGTGGAACTAGTGGAATAAAAAATATAAGTAACTATTCACCTGTAAGTATGTAATTCTTTCTTACAAACATATTATCATCACATAAATATAATTAAGTAACTGAGATTATATGTAGTATTAAAATTAGATGATCCGCCCTATATTACATACAATTTTGGGGGGGGGGGGGGGGAGTTGCATGATTTTGTGCCCAGCGGTGAACCCGAATGGAATTAATTAGCTCGTGGGGACAAAATTTATCCATAATATAAATATTATTTCTAAAAATTATAAATTAAGAAGGGTTAAGTGATAATTTGGACTTTGAATTATCTCTTCAAGACTGATTTAAACCCCTAAACCTGTGTTTGGTATATTTTGAATGGGGATAATCTCGTCTCTACTATTGATTCCAGATTAAGAAGTGGGATCCATCATTTTCTGCTTCTTGGCTTCCAAATTCTGTAATCTTCCCCAGCCCCCTTCGTTTATTTTGTTTTCTTAAAAAAGAAGAGACCTGCTATCACAACCTTCGACGAACAACATCATCCCGTCGCCGTTCAACGCAAGTGCATTCACCGTTGATTTTTTCCTCTCTAGGCTGTTCACAAATCTGCATTTTTTCGCCTTCCCTTCCCTCTTCCACACCATACTACCCCCATTAGCTGAAAGTCGTGTACACCGTTCCGTTCCCTGAACAACGACATTGATGGCGTTTTCGTGCGCCTTCACGGACTCCATGCACCAGAAATCGGACGTGTCCCAGATTTTAAGCTCTTATACCAGGAAACCGAATACACGAGCCCCTCGTTCACGGCCAAACCGGACACCGTGTCGCAGTGTTGAAACCACAGCCTACTCTTGCGTTGGTGAACGTTGACGTAGTTCTTGGGAAGCATAAACGACGCAGCTAATCCTTGACGGTGGGAAAGGTGAAGAGGAGGCTTCATATATAGTCGTAGTGCTTCACGCAGCTTCTCTTCATCCTTTCTTTCAGAGCCCTCGCTTTGTACCCCATTTTTGTTGTCCCTTATCTCCACCATGCTCTGCATTAAATTATTATTGCTGCTGCTGCTGCTATTATTATTATTCATGTCCATTGGTGATGTGAATTACATTGTGTATCACATTACTGCACACGCAAACGTACGAGAGAAGGCTAAAGAGGAACCTCAAAATCTTGACTCTTAAATTATTGGCCTATTAAATTCAGTCTCCACCATGCTATGCATTAAATCTAAAGCTGATTAAATATACAAGACAAGATACTTAAAAATGCAGCAGAGAGAGAGAGAGAGAAGATATCGGAGAGAGCACGAAGAAGCTGAGAGTGTGAGTGTTAGAACCTGGTTGAAGTTTAGTTGGGTCTAATTAATTAAGAGCCTGTTTGGATAGCCTTTTAATCAATTATTTGAGGCAAAAAATCAATTTTTGCCACAAACTATCCAACACCCCATTTGTCCAGAAAATCGATTTTTGACAAAAAAATATTGATTTTTCTCAAAGCTCCCCGGACTCAGCTTCTACGTTCAAATTATCTAACAAATATGAGCAAATACAAGAAAGGCCCCGGAAAAATTATAAAAAAGGCACAAAATTTATAAAATTAAAAAATTATGATAATTTATACAACTGAACTGAATAGTTAAAATTGATTCTGAATAAATTATAAAATTTTTCAATTCTATTAAAATTAATTTAAAAAAACAGTATCCAAACAGATTGTGTTATAACATAATCATTATGATTAAAATCTACCACTTAGTATGTGTTTGGATAAGTGATATAATCGATTTTTTACCCCAAATTAATTTTTATTATTATTATTATTCATGTCGATTGGCGATGTGGTACAAGAGAAGGCTAAGAGGAACCTCAAAGTCTTGACTCTTAAATTATTGGCCTGTTAAATTCAGTCTCCACCATGCTCTATAATAAATATAAAGTTGATTAAATATTAAGACAAGATACTCAAAAATGCAGTGTTGAGAGAGAGAGAGAGAGAGCACAAAGAAGCGGAGAGTGTGAGTGTTAGAGTCCGTTTGGATTTTAGTTGGGTATAATTAATTATAAAAAAATTAATTAATTTATGATTAATTCCCTTGAGGAGGTTGGCTGTATTCTCCTAATTTTATTTAGAAGTAAAAAATATATTATTGAAATTAAATATTTTGATTATTGTAAAAGTTTTCAATTATATTAATATTAATAATTTAATTTATGTAAATAAATACTTGATATATCTTAGTTTCAAATAAATTTAATAGAAGAGAAGGATTTCAATTCTGAAATAACAAATATCAATTTTACAATAACTAATGAAGATGATAATATACAAGTTGATATCTAATGACATCACGGATATAAGCCATATCAGAAACCGTTAAGCACTATCTTGAAATTTTGGTAACATAAAAATGTAGTAATATAACAAATGACATAAAATCTCTCTCTCTCTCTCTCTCTATAGACCTTTGCAACAATATTGTAATGACCCTAAATTTAATTAAATTAATTAATTTTTCTCTATCATTAATATTTTATTTAAATTAGTTTTATAACAAGTGCTAAGTGAAAGGTTGTGGTTGACAAAAGATTCAAATTTTGAATTTTACTAAAAAAAAAGAAGAGAATAGAGTTTTGGTTTTATTTTTTTTGTCATGAGAAAGTTTTGTGCTTTTCTTATAATTTTTTTCTTAAGCCATTCTTGTAATTTTTGCACATGCTTTTTGATCAGATTTTTCTCTCCCTCTCTCTCTCTCTCTCTCATTGAACACCAGAAGCTCACAGATATAGCTTAATCAAAAAATTGATTTTCAGAGAAAAATTGTTTACCTACTTAATGAAACAGGTGTTTGGGTATCTTTTGGAAAATTTATTTTTTAACTCAATAACGATTTTTAGCGTATCCAAACATGCAGTTAGTATGATTGAGTGAGTTGAGTCAAGGGAAGAGTGAAATAATAAATAAATAAATAAGTAAGAAGAGAGGAAGAAAATTAGAAAAACGGACACTCTCGTCACTGCCTTGTTACTTTACTGCTTTGTGGGTTCAGATATTCAAGAATAGAGGAGCGTTTGCCACCACAAGCCATAGTGAGCGAAGACAAGGTTTGATAGTTATAATCCATGTACGTACTTGGCTCTGGCATTGGGCGGCCGACTGGAGAAATTGGTGTCGTGAACCTTGATGATCTCCTAGGAATCAGAAGGGGAGGCCACCACCTCGACGTCGACGAAGCCTAGCCATGAGAGGACCGCAAGTGCGAGCGAGATTGGCCAAAGCAAGGTGGGGCCATATTGTATATTATAAAGGAAGAATGATAGAGAGGTTCCAAAAAAAATTAATTAATTCATAGGTCTTAAATGCCAAATGTTAGGAATTTGTAATTCAATTTTTCAATTTGACCACTCGTTATGATGAATTTGCAACAGCTTTATTCCAAATTTTAACAGGCAAATAATTTTTTTTATTTCTTCAACCATGCTAAAATATAAAAAAAATAACGGAGTTGTAAAATAGAAAGATTAAGTTGCAAATTTCCGATAGTTGACATTTAGGATCTAACTTGACTTAGTTGATCCTTTTAGGATCTCTTTGCTATTCTCCCTATTATAGAATATATTAGGTGTTTTAAAAGAAGTTGTTTATATAAAATAATATTAATTATCATAATCCCCCACTTAAATCTATTTATTTAACCTTATTATTTTTATAATGGACTTTTAATTGTGATTAAAGTAATTTTATTGCTTAGTCTTTTGAAGTCTCTACCTATAAAAGACAATACTGGCCGTTCTAAAAAGGGCCTTTGAGGTTTCAGACTTTCTTCCCTGTTTTATATCACACTGCTTCTCATATGCTTTACCTGATTTTATGAAGTGATTTTTGTTCTATGTTTTACTTTTTGCACGAAGAATTTGTTTAATCTTAGAAAGTTGCCACATGATCAACCCGATGTGGCATAATAATTTTTAAGAATAGTGTTTTTGAACACAATTCAGACTATGATTTACTTGCTTTTGCCGACAATTTTAAGAGCTGCATATTCCAACATGTTATGACTGTGCTAAATGTAATGACCCAAAACTTTTAAATTAAATAAATTTTTAATTAATATTTTTATTTAAATTAGTTTTATAGAAAGTGAAGAGTGGTCGTTTAGTGAAATTTACTTTAGTAACTTTTTGAATGTCCAAAGTTTGTTTTTCATTTAGCAAAAAATTCATTTTATTCTGTTTTAAATTATAGAAAATTTTAGGCTCATTCTTGTAATTTTTCCTTGTGTAATTTCTTGTAGTTTCCCAATTTTCCTTTTTCAGTCAGAATTTATATTCATTCTACACAAAAAATAGAGAATTGCGTTTTACCTCAATTTCTTTCTTTTCTTCACCGACATAAGCTCCTCTGATTCTTGACTGTCGGTCTGCGTTTCTGCTCTTCACCATCGACTGGCTTCCTAGATCTTCGCCATCAAGTTCCTCTCTTCGCCGTCGCTATTTCGCAGCTAGGGGGGGAGGTCGCTGGATTCTCTCCTTTGTTCGGCCCTTCTTTGACTCTTCTCTGCTTCGCGGCTGTCAGTGATGCGTGGTACGTCATCTTGAACTTCTCTTCCTCCTCAGTTCTAGACGTGAGGTAACCTCAGTTTCTCTTCCTCCTATGACCGATGGGTGCTGTCTCTTCTTTGATTTATGCTGCTGTGGAAAAAAAAAAAGAAAAAAAAAGCAGAAAAGAGAGAGAGAGAGAGAGGAAGAAAGAAACTCATTTCAGTTGCAATGCAATGTTTGGAGAAGGAAGGAAAATGAGAACTAAGCAAGAGTTTGGAAAGGTTTGGCTGTTATGTCTTGCGAAATCAATTAAAAAAACAGATAGAGATTTGAGAAAACTCTGATAGGTTGTGTTGTCATTTTGAAATATATAATTGTTGAATTTGAATTGAGGTGTGCTGGTGTAACGATGGGATGTTATTTTATTTTGATGCTAAGTTGAATTTGATGTAATGTATTCTTGACAAGTTTGGAAGTGTTTGAAAGGATTGTTGAAAAAGGGTCAAGGAGATGTTTATCTATATATTATTTTGAGTGTCCACAAGGTATCTGTTAAATGTCTAAAAGAGAAATTGTAACAATGAGAAGTTTAATGTTACGTTAAGAGGAGTTGTAGGGATAGACTATGATTTGTTAAATAGTTTAATTGATTCAAGCATAACTAAAGTTTTAAATGATGATGGGTGCTATTTTGAATATTAGTTGAATATCTACAAAGTGTTTGAAAAATTACTTGACGAGTAAAGTTAAAGGATGCAGTGAGAGATTAATATGGTAAAGATAATTTTGCTAGATGTTAGAAATTGATAGTTAAATACGTACTTACTTATATTAAGAAAAGAATGACAAAAATGATTTTAGGATTGTAATTTATTTGTTGGGAAGTTAATGGCATCGTTGGAATTATAGTGAGAAGTTAAAGTAAAGTAAGCTTTAGAACTCTTGGAGAATTTCTCAGGTGAGTGGGTAGTGTTCCAAATAATTTCTTACAAAATATTTATAAATTTCTTTATTTAAATTTTTACATCATTCATTTATAAGTTGTATAAATATTCTTGTTAATTTTAATTTTATGATTCATACAATTCTTTTTACTTACCCAACTTCTGTATTAATTGGTTATTATGGAATTTTCTTTACATTCATTAAGAATTATGCTATTATTAAAGAATATTTGGATTCAATACATTATTATAGAATATTATTCTAAACATTTTTGTTGTTTAAATGTTTATTAGTTATATTATCGTTATTAAAAATGGTAATTCATACATGGAGAAAATTGAAAAGAAAATTTAAAAGTTGAACATTATATTTTAAAAAGAATGGTTTTCAATGAATGTTTCAACTCCATGCACGCTTGATTTTAATTAGGGGGACTAAATTAGAACGCTGGATGCTAACAGTAGTTCTGTTAGCTCTTAGCACACCATGGTACACTATCTAGCAAAGTGTTTGCAGGAGATGCTAGCCCCGTACGCAGGCCAACACATGTGGAATGAAGGGATGAATATTCATGATTATCATACTCACACTTGTTTCGTGAGTTTCA